CATTAGTAGCAATGTACTTGTTTAGCACTGCAACACTGCAAGCCCAGTTTTCCTTTTAACACGCTTCACCTATGGAAAATAATGCAGGTGGCCAAGATATGAAAAAAATCAACATTTTTTGTGCCTAATTGAAAATGAATTGTGAGTCAACTAAATTATTTTAATTGATAGATTTTTCAAGAGGTAAAGAGCAGTGATATCGCTAAAACTTTCCGCAAAGCAATCAACAGGAAAGAAGGGATTTGTGCTCTAGGAGGAACTTCAGAGCTGTCTAGTGAAGGAACACAGCATTCATACTCAGGTAACTGGTTCACTTACTGTAGACTGTTACACTGGACTGAGTAAGGGAGATGCCCTTACACAGGTGCTGTACACATATTATTGGGCTTGGGACTAATACTGCTATAAAGGCCATTGTAGGCACTTATTATATGATTTTGTTAGCTTGTAAGTGATATCATATGATACACATAACAATAGGCTTTATTGCCTGCAACTACTATAAATGTAGTTTTTAAAGAATTTTATAACTCATTTTTCTGACGGTCAGTTTACCTGCTCTGTTTATTAATTTTTTGATTCCTCATTGTTGTGTTGTATCCAGTCCTGTGGCTTTCTAAAGAGGATAACCACTTGTTTATGACACATTAGCTTTCAACCTTGCTTTACAAATATTATAGACTTTGACATTAAAAATTAACCTAAAGTATGAACTAATTTCTTCTTATTTAACACAATTTTAGAAGAAGAAAAATATGCCTTTGTTAACTGGATAAACAAAGCTTTGGAAAATGATCCTGATTGCAGACACGTTATTCCTATGAACCCAAATACTGATGATCTGTTCAAAGCTGTTGGTGATGGAATCGTGCTTTGGTAAGACGTTAGCCTGTTTTACATCCAGATTTCCAAAACAACCTTCCATGTAATTGATACATTTGTTTCTGGATGCTTGACAACTTCATATCAGGAAATCCAGGGGAAGATTAGCAGGTTTTACCTTTTTCATTTCATCTCTTAAGTCTGTCCGTGAACGTAAAACTCTGAGGCATAGATTGGGGGATTTTTATGGGGCAAAGATCTCAGCATCCAGTTTCTTGTCTCATTTAGCAAGCAGAACATCACAACTTTGTTGAACTTAAGTGTGTCAGTATCTATTTATTCTGAAGTACTGTCTTGTCTAAAGAAAAAAAAAAGAGAGACTACCCATCAGTACTTACTCTCCAATGACCTATTTCTGAAAAATGCTTTTTTCACTGCAGCTTCCTCAGAGCCAGCAGTTCTGTAGGTTGGCAGAAAGATTATCAACACTCTCTTTTGCTGCTACTATCTGCAGGGGCAGTATAGTAGCACAGTGATTAAGAGGATGCTTCATAATCTGTGAACCTGGGTTCATATTCAGACCTTGCCTCTCCATAGCTGTGTGGGTGTGGTCCAGTAGTTTACCCTCTTAGCATTTCAACTGCCATCTACTATAATCCCCATGTTGTTGTGTAGATCAAGCATCCCTAATACAAAAATATGATCTCTGAAATACTCCAAAATATGAAACATTGAGCCCTGACATGGCATTGCAAGTAAATAATTTCACACTTGACGTCTTGAGATAGGTCACAGTCAAAATGTAGGTGCACTAAAAAATACTGTATAAAATTACCTTTTGGGCTGGGGATGTAGTTCAGTGGTACAGTGCTTGCCTGTTATGTGAGAGTCCCTAGGTTTGATCCCAGTACCATAAAGCATTAAAATAAATATTGCCTTCAGGTTATGTGTATGAGATGTATATGATGCATAAAATTAAATTTGTTTAAAATTGAATCCAGTCTCCGAAATCTCTTGCCCCGCCTCTATCTCCATCTCTCTTTCTTTGTCTCTGTCTCTGTAAGGGATGTGATGCAATACATATAATTATGGGGTTTATTACATGGGGTTCTATACTAACATGAATGTAATTCTTAAAGAATTTTGTAAATATGTCTATTTCAAAATCTGAAACCTTTCTGGTCTGAAGTATTTCAAAGAAGGTTTGCTAGCTTTGCAGCATTAAGTTGCTACCTATAAAGTACCTAGAACAAGACAACAGATGTATGTCAGATGACAGTATAGTGTATGACATACCTCTGTTCGCAATATGATCATTTTGGTTGTTGGAAAAACTGATTGTAAAAGTGTGAGCTATGCCCTTTGTGTCCATCTATATGCAGTAGAAATAATTTGCCATTTGTTTTAATAGAGATAAACATACAGAACTATTTATTTAATATTTAAAATCTGCAAAAAATGAGATGATATTTTTAATTGTAATTTATATTATCTAATGTAATATATGGGGATTTTTCCTTTTTTTAACAATGTGGGATTTAACCTGTTTTTAACAATTATTTAGTAAAGTTTTTCTCAGTGTGTAGTTTATTCATTCTCGTAACAGATTGTAAAGAATACAAAAATATGAAAACATGCCCCAATTCTGAGGCCTAAGCACTATGAACATTTTGATTGTGTTTGTTGTTGATATTGTTTTTGATGGTAGTGAGGATCAAATTCAGGTTCTCAGGCATGGTAGAAAATTGCTCTTCCACTGTTGTATTCTCAGCCCTGGTCTTTTTTTGCTTTTGTTTGTGTTTTTGTATGCACAGATTTGTAATCAAAATCACCTACTGAAATTATTTTTAGATTACATGAAAAGTGTCTTATGAGAAGCCTTGCAATATTTATGAATATTTAGTCTCTACAAGTAAATCAATTCTTTTTATTTTTATTTCAGTAAAATGATCAATCTTTCAGTTCCTGATACCATTGATGAAAGAGCAATCAACAAAAAGAAACTTACACCTTTCATCATTCAGGTATGCACTGTTCTCCCCTTCCTAGTCCACAAACTATTGTGTAAGGGCCTGTTCGACAGACATAAGCTCTACACTCTGTTTTCTCAATCAATTCTCCTACAACAACTTTGAATTTGAGACTATTATCCAGATTTCACAAAGTCATCTGTGACTCAGGATTGGTAGCTTGCTTAAGGTTAATATGGGAAGTGAGGTTCAAATACCAAAGCCCTATTCTCATCGCATAATGTGCTCAAGTGTTGAAAAACTTGGCAAAAACATTTACACTCTTAATTTACTGATTTACTTATGGAATGGAGCATTTTTCTTTTCCATCAAATATTAGACTAGTAGCAAAATTTCCTAAGGAAAGAACACCTCTTGGCATGTGGAGAACAATAGTTTTTAGAACTTGGATATATGTCATACTGTTAGACTGTCTTTGTGCATTTTTAGTAGCATGACACTCTCCTCACAAGGATATATTTACTTTAGTCCTAGCTTTTTCCTTTAGTATCAGCATATTTCAGAAAGAAACAAAAATATCAACTTCCCATGGAATTCTGCAAAGGATAATAGCAATAAGATGGAGATTTGTTTTAGCTATGCTACTTAGCACTGAAGTTTGGAATTTGTTTTCTGTGAATTATATATGGATGTAACAGAGTGTTTTCTCATTGAGGTTTATTTTCAGCAGAGGCAGAAGTAGATTGAAAAAATGGAAAGGTCAAGAAGCTACTGTATAATTTTCCTGTCTTACAGGAAAACTTGAACTTGGCACTGAATTCTGCTTCTGCCATTGGATGTCATGTTGTGAATATTGGTGCAGAGGATTTGCGGGCTGGGAAACCTCACCTGGTTTTGGGACTGCTTTGGCAGATCATTAAGATTGGTTTGTTCGCCGACATTGAATTAAGCAGGAATGAAGGTAATAAAGAACAGTCATTATTTTGAAAGTTATTGGTTTTTTTCTTCTAGCCATGCAGACTGTCATGCTTTCACTTGATTGGCATGATCAAATGATAACCAGAATTAACATAAGGTAATGCTATAGAGTTATTCAAGAAAACAGCCTAATCGTAGCTCTTCTTTAATCATAATTAACTTTTATTTGACACTTTACATTTTACTTTATGATAAATATACAAAAGCACAGAGAGGTTAATGAACTTTCTCACCCCCAAACTTGATATTTTTGCTAGTATCCACACAGCCCCTGCTCCATCACCATTGTATACTAAGTTATTTACTTTTGTTCTTGGTTTCTTTTACTTTTTTCCCCACTCTTTTCTATTGATTACACAGGCTACTGGGTTTCATACATGAACATAACACACTTTGATCATTTGTCCTGCATAAACCTCCATGACCCTTCCTCCACACAGTGGAACACTTTGGGGAAATTTCAATTCATATATTTTGTGTATATCCAGCCACCCTATTACCTGCCCTTATACTCCTCCTCCTTCCTCTTAATCTCTTCTTATCTAATAATTTCCTTTGTACTTTCTTGTCAGTTACTTTTAGTACCTTTCATATTCTACCATAAAATTTAGACCTGGTCCAGAATCTTCTAACATACTATTTTTCCCTTTTTAATTTTTTTTATTTTAAAGATAATAAAACAAAACAAATCAGAACAAAACAGATCAGAACAAAAAAGGGCAATCAACAAAGGATTTCAAAACAAGACAACAAGAAATCAATAGTGGTTACCATAATGTCTCTTGTTTTCTTTGAAATAGTTGTCCATATATTCACACACAACTAATTCAAACAAAACAAAATAGTGCAAAGCCAACCAAAACAAAAGAATTAAAGCATTACAGGCCTTCAACACCAGACAATAGGAAAATCAACAATGGCTACCATAATGTCTCTTGTTCTCTTCAAAATAGCTGTCCATACCTTCACACATATCGAAATTAAATAATACAAAACAGACTAAAATCAATCAAAACAAAGAATAAAAGCATTACTGGACTTCACAACAAGATGATAAGAAATCAGCAATGGCTACCATAATTTCTCATTTTCAAAGTAGCTGTTCATACCATCCCACATAATAAAATCAATTCTTATAAATTCTTTAGGAGAAGTTTTAAGCATGGATAAGGCTATACATGTTCATCTACCCTTTCTGTATTAGAGGGAAAAACAAAACAAATTACAAGGAAAACAAGAAACAAAACAGACAATAACAAAGAGCCCAAAACAAAGATTCTAACCTACTTTTTGTGGTACTGGGGATCGAACTCACGAACTGGCTCTTGCAAGGCAAGTGCTGATGAGCCAAATACCCGGCCCTGCTAACCTACTCTTGATGGTTCTACAGTTCCTGAACCAGCAAATATTCATCCTTTTATAGCATAAATTTTTGTCACACATTGATTTGTAAGATATATGCATATATGTAATAAATAAAATTTTCCCTGGGTTCTTAGGAGTACTATATCATTCTCTCCTTATAAAGCTTTATATGTCCACTGGTACAGTTTGCTTAGCATGTGTAAGACCTTGTTTTTGATCCCTAGCACTATAGAAAAAAATCAAAAATATTAACTCTAAATGCTTTTATTCCAGAGATCTCTAGCATCACATTTCAATCTTCAATTACTTTTGGAAAAGAGCATATACTTGGGATTCTCAGTATTTTCTTTTTTCTTTTTTTGGGGGGGTCTTTTTTGTTTTTATTAATACCAGGGATAGAACTCACGACTGCCTGCTTGCAAGGCAGGCGCTTATGCCACTGAGCTAAATCCCCAGCCCCGATTCTCAGTATTTTCAATATCTCATAATATCTGCTAATCTTATTTTATAACTTTACATATTATAAGGTTTTAGCAGGGGCAGTTGTTCTGTTTTTGCTTATCCGATCCATTGTTACATTTACATTTTCAATCTTACGATTTTTTCCTTTGTCTTTTGTTTTCTTGAGTCTGCATCGTGCTATTTTTCTCAGTCTGGTCTTGAACTTGAGCTCAAGTGGTCTTCAAATAGCTGGATGGCAGGTGCCTACTCCTCACCCTGCACTGATGCTCTACATGTAGATGAATAAAATAAAATTGTTCTAGTTGCTGGTTTTCTTCACAGTGCTGCTAGTCTTGCTTAAAGGAGTTAAAGGAAAGGAGAAACAACATAAAATGACACTGGCTTATTTAGTAAATGAAGTGCATAGACATTGGAGTATTGGGGCTCTGGGTTAATGGTGATGTTGTCTTCGCACTGGCTCAAATCTATGAGCACTACAATGACAGGCATCCACGATAGATGACATTTTTCTACCTAGTTATTACTTGGATCTCTTCAGAAATCAGTTTGCCTTGTCCAATACCAATCCCCTTTCATTTCATGAGAGGTAACATTGCATAAGAACTACACATTTTCCTAAAACACTGTTTAAATTTAGTTAGTTCTCTGTGTGAGCACCCAGTAAGCTTTTATTCATTACCTATTGGATGATTTACTAAAAATCAATAAAATATATAAAGCTAGGCTTTGGAGCCAGGGATATAGCTCAGTGGCAGAATGTGTGTTTTACATGTGTGAGACCATGGATTCAATCCCCAATACCATGAAAAGAAAAAGTAAAAGAGACTGACTTCTTCCATACGTTCAATTCAACAAAAGCAAAATTATTGAGGAACCCTCCTTTTAAAGTAAGTTCAACTTGTCAAGTAACTGATTAATTATGCTTAAATATAAATAATAAAAAATGCATGTAAACGTAGAACAAGGTAAAAATATTAAACTTAGAATCTATAGCATTATTTGGTATTTGCAATGTGAAGAATAATAAAAGAATAAATAAATATATAACTTACATAATATTTACTGTGCATTCTTGTAATATGTCTCACAGTATCACCTTGTTTAGTAGCTTTGTACATATCTGTTTATCTTTTGATTAGACTGAGTATCTTGAAACCAGGAGCTACATCATACCAATACTTATTTTGTTTTGTTTTGTGTACTGGAAACTGAACTCAGGACCTTGAGCTTTCCAGGCAGGCATTTATGCCACAGAGCTCTATCCCCAGCCATACTAATTCTTGTATCTCTATTACTTAACACATCGTCAAAAGAACAAGCCATGACCATTATGGTATCATATATTTATTACTGGAGCTTTTTTTCTTTCCAGCCTTGGCTGCTTTACTTCGAGATGGTGAGACGTTGGAAGAGCTTATGAAACTGTCTCCAGAAGAGCTTCTGCTTAGATGGGCAAACTTTCATTTGGAAAACTCAGGCTGGCAAAAAATCAACAACTTTAGTGCTGACATCAAGGTAACTGTGCAAAGTGCTCTGTCTCCTTTGAGGGATGTAATGGCTTGGGGATTTTATTCCAGCTTAACACAGAGAAAATGCTCCTTAGCCCTGATGACAGATTTTATTTTTTTTTTTTACTTAGTGGTATTTATTTATTTTGCACAGGTAGATGTAGTACCAACCCAGAGCCTTGTGCATGCTAAGCAAGCACTCTATCACTGAGCTACATCCCTAGCTCTGCTGATGGTAAATTTTAGTATAGAAGTACAGCCAAGTAAGGAGCACGAGCACTAAATCTCTCAATTTTATGGAAAAGGGTCAAAGCATTACAGTGCTGGTATTTTTTATATCCTATTGCTGAAAATGGAAGATAAAAGCATAGAACATGACTGTGTAGTCCAAATTGTCTTTCCCAAGCTTCATTGTGCCTGTTAGTAAAGACCTGGGAAAAGAAAGACCTCAAAATCCCTGTCACACACACAGCCACCACCACCCATCCCCATGGTGCTGTGGATAAAAACGGAACCTTCACACAGAGCTACATTCCTCAATCCCTTTAACTTTTTACTTTGACCGAGTCTTGCCAAGTTATTAGGTTGCTTAGGCTGGCTCAAACTTGCAGTCTTCTTGCCTCAGCCACCTAGAGTACTGGGTTTACTGTCACCTTTCTAACTTCATGTCTCTCTTGTCATATATGCTTAATTTTAAATACTTAATTCCTTGAGGGACTGCTGAGAGCTTGTTTGTACCTATTTCTCCTACCTCAATCCCTGCCCCAGTACCTTCCCACTAAAGTCTACCTCTAACACAATACTTGTCACATAAAAGCCCCTCAAGGGAGCTTTCTACTGTGTGGTTCGTGTCTGTAATCCCAGCACTCTGGGAAGCTGAGGCAGGAGGATTGTAAGTTTCAGCCCAGCTTGGGTAACTTAGCAACTTAGTAAAACCCTGTCTGAAAATTTAAAGAGGGCTGGAGATGTAATTCAGTGCAAAGGCCCCAGTATTATAAACCATTAAGAAAAAAGAGCCGTTCACATATTTCTTGTGTCAAATTGAATTTTGGCATTCACTACTCATTATAGTGTCTTTTGCTTCTCATACAAAAAGAGACTGAATTGCCATAAGAAATAAGTTGACCCTCCATATCCTTGGGTTCTGCATCTATAGAATGCCTATGAGGGAGTGGATTATATTGGTACTAAACATATAGACTTTTTTTCTTGTCATTATTTCCTAATACAGTACAACAACTACTTACGTTGCATTTGAACTGTATCTAATACATGATTTAAAGTGTAGGGAACCCTGGTCTAATGGCATACCCTGTAATCCCAGAACTCTAGGAGGCTGACACAAGTGGATGACAATTTTGAAGTCCATACTGGGAAATTTACTTACTTAGTGAGACCCTGACTCAAAATAAAATTTAAATAAATAGAGGGTTGCACCTCTGGGTTCAATAATCAGTACTATATTTAAAAATTGAAGTGCTTGATATGCTTATGTTATACCAGATATACCATTTTACATAATAGGATTTGAGCTTCTCAGATTTTGGTGTCCTCAGGGTAGGGGGAAGGAATTATTCTGGAACCAACTCTCTACAATGCTAAAAGAGAACTGTGTGGGGTTTTTTGTTTTGTTTTGTTTTGTTTTGTTTTGTTGCGTACTGGGGATCGAACTAACCACCATGTCATGCTTGACAGGCACTGTGCCACTGAGCTATATCCCTGGCTGTGTGGTTCTATTTTCAACTGTCTTGAAATTGCAGATATAAAGACACAAGGAAATAACTTGAAGTTTTCAGGTTTTTGTTTTGTTTTGGGCAGTTATGAGGATCAATCACGACCTTGAGTTTGCCAGGCAGGCGCATAGGCCACTGAGGCAAATAGGGGCCCTCAGCCCTTATTTTTTAAGAAAGGGTCTTACTAAGTAAGCCAGGCTGGCCTCAAGTTTGTAATCCGCTTGCCTCAAACTTGTGAGTACCTGGGATTCCAGGTGTGCATCATAGCACAAGGCAACCTCAAGTGTCTTTATTAGAGGTCTCTGGCCATTAGTTCTATGAAAACAGTATCCTCTGATCATATCAACTTGTCCAACTGCTTGACAGGAAGCAGTGAGATACTTGCCCTACTGATTTTATCAGTGAAAATTAAAGATGCTTCCAAATTAGAAGACTAACTCTTCTCTCTTTTAACTTATCCAACATGCTTAATTCTTTTTGCATTACATGAATTCCTGAAAAGCATTTATAAATGGAATTCGTGTATTGGGATACATTTTAAATATGCAAGATGAAATCTATTTTTAAATGAAGCTTGTTTTGAATATTTGTATAAAGCAAAGAGTGTTTTAATAACATGAAAATGAATTTCCAATTTATTCATATTCAAATTCAAATTTTCCCATCTAGTGCCTTTCAGAGTAGTAAATACAGACTCTGCTGCATCTGCTCTTCACTTGTTGTTCTCAAGGGTGTAGAAATAAATTATAAACTACTCATATACCTTCAGTGAGTGGACATGAAGGTACTGCACAGCTGCAATGTGCTGTTCTTTAGAAAGGTAATCCATGTGCCCTCTAATGATAGGATTTCAACTGGCATTTAATGAACTGCTCCATAAAGACTTTTGCCCAATTATTTTCCCAAGTTTTTTTTTTTTTTTCGTCCTCTACTGAGGACTGAACCCAGGGCCTCACACGTGCCAGGCAAATGTTCTGCTACTAAGCTATATCTCCAACCCTATTTTCTTCATTCTTAAGATCGTTTATGGTACCAACTTTCAAACTCCCTTCACAGCATTTAAAGTACAGCTCTCCAGGAAGCTTCCAGAAAGGTCTAGGGAGAGATGCAATAATCCCCAACTCCCCAGGGCAGTAGATGCACAATGTCTCTGGACTTTACTGTGAGAAACATTTTTTTAGCCTATTTGTACTTTAAAGGCCCAGTAATAGAAAACTGCCATCATTGAAAAGGTGATCTTAGACAGGGCAAGAGTGAGGCATCTTGACTTAATAGCTTGTCCTCTACTATTACAAACAGGCATAATTTTACTTGATGCCTGTGAAGACACTTAGTATTTGCACTAATACAGTGTGTTCAGTGGAGTTTCCATGCAGCCTATATCACCCATCCCAATCCCGAATGAGCAACTCCACTTTGTTTTGTGTATTCAAGAGGCCAGAGACTTAAAACAGAAAGAGAGGTCTGGAGGTATGGATACATTGCTCAGTGGTAGAGTACTTGTCTAACATGTGTGAAGCCTTGGTTCAATCCCCAGCACTCCATAGGACCAGGGCCCAGGGGGCGAGGGTGGGAGTGGGCTTGTTTTGTTAGGTATATTCTAGTTTTTAAAAGTTAAGCGTTGTTATTTTTTCAACTGAAGTGTTTCTCGTTTAAGACATTGTGTCATTTATAATTAAACATAACTTTTGACATAGCAGATCTCTTCTCCATAGTTTATGGTATATGTTGTATTCTGTAGTGATATAACCTGTTTATTTTCTCTTTTCTTATGCTTCCTGGATTTCTGCTGTACTATTTTTTCATGCTTGTTGTGTATCATTCAAGCTTGTTGACTTCAGTAATTCGGTGAAGGTACAGAAATGTTTATTAGCACTTTTTTAATCAATGACTTCAATAAGTTGTAAAGTTATGTCAAAATCTAGCTCATCTATACGTGAGACAAAAATAAGGCCCAATAAATAGGCTTTTCTAGGGAGACATCACTTGTTACATTAGGAAACAAGAACTTGTGCCATATATTCTTTACCAAAACTAATGCAAATATCCTCCCCAACATGATACAATAGGGGACATTGATTCTTTGGAAAAGTGATCTCACTGGCATTTTCAATTCATTTGTAGGATTCCAAAGCCTATTTCCATCTTCTCAATCAAATTGCACCAAAAGGACAAAAGGAAGGTGAACCACGGATAGATATTAACATGTCAGGATTCAATGTAAGTACAGATGCTCTTTTGTATCCTATAGCCTTACAAAATTATTGTCTATTTTTTAACAACTTAAGGATTTTTGTAACTGCATATAGTAATGTTCACCATTTTAAGCATTATTTTTAATATCACTGTACATATAACTCAGAGGAAAAATAACTTTATTTTGATAGTTTATTAGTGAGTTTCATAATTATGGTAGTATTGGGTTTATATGGATGACATAAAACAGACAAAAGTATGGGGAATAAGCACTAGTAACTAGCCTTTTCCCATTTGGATTATAATAACTGATTTAATGACTACATATACATATCTGTATCAGCAATATTCCTGTTTTGAATATGTTTACAAAATCTTGTTCTATGTGACCTAATTAGGAAATTATTGTCCCCTGGTTGTTCCTAATTTCTTCAGTGACTTTGGACAAGTTTCTTCCTAAAATTGAATCTTACTCTGCCTATCAGTAAAGGAACTGCACTAAAACTGCACTAGACTATTTAGTCCCAAGTTTTTAGCATTCTTTGTTTCTCTGTACCCATTAGATGAAAAATGCATTCTACTAATTAACAAAATGCATACATGTATCTTACTATGCAATAGAATTAATTGGATTATACTGACTTAACCATTTTGCTCTGCTCTTACTTGAATTAAATTTGAACCTGTCTTGAATGCTTTTATTTCTGTCCGTGAGTTACATGTAAGACTCTGGGCTCAGGTCACTCTTGGTTGGTCAGGTGATCATATGCCTGGGTAAGCAGCACCAGTATTACTGACTCTTAATTCTGATGGAGCCTTTCTCTAGCCAATCCTCCACAAGTTAACTTCCTAAAACACTTCTTTCTTTGGTATTTCCTTGTAGGAGTACTTTAAAGATTCCTCCACTGACTCTACAATTCAATCTAAAATGTTCTGCTTAGATTTAAGCACTGGACAATCTTGCTCCATTTCTCCAAATGGGTGCAATTTTTCATAAGTTTGTGCCCCTCAAACCTCCCTTCCCACCACAGTCCAGCTGTCTCAGTCTTCTCCAAACATTTTATTTACTTCCCACCTCTGTTAACTTTTTCCTTGGTTTTCAATGACTTTTTTCAGTCATACATCCTCTTATGACCTACTCGTCATATGTGAACCACTTTAATATTTTTAAATTTTCTTTTCTTTCTAAAAAGCATATTTCTAATTTAGCTTTTTTTCTTGATGCAATTTGGTATGAGCGATGTAATCCCTGTTGAGTTAAATGTACTCAGTAGTTACATATGCTTGGGCGCCATCTATGGTATTTTAAAGGTATTGCACATCCTACGGAACTCCTTTTTTAATTTTTTTCTTTTTTGCATTCAAAACACTTTTATAATAAGTACCATGTGTTGGCTCACAGAAGGTAGAACTGTATGTTCAAGACTTTGATTGTAGGGAAAGCTTCTATATTTTAGTATGGCCTTTTAAAATGTCTTCTATTTTACTTCAACAGGAAACAGATGATTTGAAGAGAGCTGAAAGTATGCTCCAACAGGCAGATAAATTAGGTTGCAGACAGTTCGTTACCCCTGCTGATGTTGTCAGTGGAAATCCCAAACTGAATTTAGCCTTTGTGGCTAACTTGTTTAATAAATACCCAGCACTAACTAAGCCAGAGAACCAGGATATTGACTGGACTCTATTAGAAGGTAACTAAAATGTTCAGATTCTTTTTTTTTTTTTTTTAAGACAGGGCCTTACTATGTCGTTCAGGCTAGCCTTTAATTAACTGTGCAGCCCAAGCTCACCTCACACTTATAGCAATTATCCTGCCTCAGCTTCCTTGATACTAGGATTACAGGTGTGCAACACCACACTTAGTGAGTTTTAAAAATTTTGATGTGTGGGCTAAAGAGTAGAAATACAGAGGCCGTAATGATGTCATAGTCTTGACCCAAGAAATTTCTTTGTCCACTTTGCTTTAGCAAGTGTCTGTTAGAAGTAGACACAGTACTGAGTAAAAGCTGGCAACTGGTGGAAAGAGATGGTACCAGTGAACTTTCACAATAAAGTAGACTGGTTGAGAACTTGCCTTCCATGTACAAGGCCCTGGGTTCAATCCCAAGCACTGCTGAAAAAATAAGAGTTAAAGAATAAAATAAGGAAAAGTAGCCTAGGATCACTCAGTATAAGACCATTTGTTATTGTTTTAATATCCAGGGCTGGACCACTTTTTAAATCTCTCACCAGAAAAAATGCACATATACCTTTAATTTGATCTGTAAGTTTTTAGCATTAATGTTTCATTCTTCCACAGTCAAAGTGACAAAAAATGCTAACCTATTGCAATTATTTAAATTTAAGACAGGCAAAGTTTGACTATTCTGAATTTTATATTTAATATAGTGTATAAAAATTAATGAATGCAAATTGTAGTTCAGTGAGTATTTACTAGCATCACTATAAAATCTTAAATTTGTGCTTTTTTTTTTTTCTTTGTTGTCCTGGGGAAGGAAGCTGCCCTTACATAAACTAGGCAAAGCCTCTACCACTGGGGTATATCTTCAGCCCCAGAAACTTCAAGTTATTTGTTACTTTAACACAAATTTGTAGTAATAATCATGCATAGCTTGGCATTACTTAAATGAGTGGAAGAAAACATACATACATTAATAAGAATATAAGTTATATGATCATAAAGTATTAAAAATATAAACGAGACTGAGAGCATCAGATACTTTGAGGTACGCAAGTTTAAGGAGCTATTGGGAAAATATCGATAAAGAGCAGATTTTTAGTTTATAAATTTCTATGGGGCTGAGGGTATACATCAGTGGTAGAGGGCTTTACCAAGCTTTCTCAAGGCCCTAGGTTTGAGCACCACCACCACCAAAAAAAAAAAAAAAAAAAAAAAAAAAAAAAACCTTGGGGCTGGGGATTTAGCTCAGCGGCATAAGCACCTGCCTTGCAAGCAGGCGGTCGTTAGTTCAATCCCTGGTACCAATAAAAAGGAAAAAGACGAAAAAAAAAGCCTAAATGGTTTAAGCATTTAAAGTATGATTATATTTCTAATTGTAACATAAACGCAGAAATTTTTTAAAACATGAATATAAAAAGGATATATCTATAAAGAATGCTTGAGAATTCATACTGCAAAATACTTGTTAATTGGAATAGAACAAATAAAATAAACAAATACATAAGTTGATGCTATATGCATGTATAAAAAGTGTTTAATGAATGAATACATTTTTAAAATATTCTTAATAGGAGAAACTCGGGAAGAAAGAACTTTCCGTAACTGGATGAACTCTCTTGGTGTTAATCCCCACGTAAACCATCTCTATGCGTAAGCCATCCTATTTCTATTATAAAGAGTTACCAACATCACTAATGGATGTTATGTAAATGATGACAGTTCCAAAGATTTTCTAAATGTTAATTTATAGCAATTATTCGTTCTAGAGAATGTGAGTCATGGTTTCTGTCATCATTTTGGAAATACGTAAAAGGCTAAAATCTTCCTTTACATAGTCATCAACTGTGATAGGATGTATAAATGTCTTTATGTTATACATATACACCAGAATTACATTATCTGTTTATCCATGTTCTCATTTATTGTACATCTTTTTGACCCATAGGACAAGGATTTTTGTCCAATAATGTCTAGTATTTTAGAACTGTACTTTCCCTGTAATAAGCTCTCAATACACACTTTTAGTGAATCAGGCAATTTTAGCAGTATTCAGCACAAACCAGTAGAAAACATGAGACTTTATATATCTTCTTTGGCAGTGTTAGAGTTAATGCTTTTAAGGAAAGAAAAAGCCCTTCTGTCTGATAACATTGATCAAATTATTTTTAAATCATTAGTGACCTGCAAGATGCCCTGGTAATCTTACAGTTATATGAAAGAATTAAAGTTCCTGTGGACTGGAGTAAGGTTAATAAACCTCCATACCCAAAACTTGGAGCCAACATGAAAAAGGTAGATAAATTAATTTGCTGCATGTTTTGTTACCAATTTTTTTATATTCTAGTTGATTGGTTACATTTTGGAAACTCTTGATCCTGAGCTTCTTGAGGCCAGTAACTGTGTACAAGTTCCTAGCATGACACAATACATACACATATGTGTGCGAATTAAACAATTGAAAATCTTTAACCATTCACTTACTTTTGTGTGTTTGCAGCTAGAAAACTGCAACTACGCTGTTGAATTAGGAAAGCATCCTGCTAAATTCTCTTTGGTTGGCATTGGAGGACAAGACCTGAATGACGGGAACCAAACCTTGACCTTAGCTTTAATCTGGCAGCTGATGAGAAGGTATAGTTCACATGTTCAGCTGTTTAAGTTTCACTATAACACACATCTATGATTTCACTCTTGTTTTATTTGTAATAAGTAAGCATGTCAGTGACTATATTTTTGAACATTATTGTATTTGGACTCTGAAATACATTTAAATCATGAATATATATTGGATGTTTAGTGAAATAAGTCTCCCAGTTTCCTATTATGTCTTTTATTTAAGAGATCTTGCCTGTACCACTATATAGGGTAGATTACTGATAAGTAACTCCACTGCCTGAAATCATTTTTTCACGTAGTGTGAATTGCTTTCCACAAAATCTGTCGTCTTTCAAACCTAAAGAATAAAAGAAATGGAAGATAAAATATCTTTCTGGTGTTTGCATTTTTTTTCATAAAGTAGATCGTGAAATTTTCTTCTGCTGTTTCTCTTAGATATACTCTCAATGTCCTGGAGGATCTGGGAGAGGGTCAGAAAGCTAATGATGATATTATTGTAAGTTGGGTGAACAGGACATTGTATGAAGCTGGAAAATCAACTTCCATCCAGAATTTTAAGGTCAGAATCCATATTTGACTACTAAATATTATGCTTTCTAGAAAATATCTATAATTTGAAGGACAATCTATGGTTTAGTTTCAAGTAGGAATTGTTGGGCTAATGGCAAAATTCTCTTTTAATTCTCTGGGCTTTGCTTTAGGCTCTTTATGAAATGAAGCACATGTTATTTTGTATGTACGAAAATTCTTAGACTTGTTGTCCCTCTACACTAGGACAAGACGATCAGCTCCAGTTTGGCAGTTGTGGATTTAATTGATGCCATCCAACCAGGCTGCATAAACTATGATCTTGTTAAGAGTGGCAATCTAACAGAAGATGACAAGCACAGCAATGCCAAGTAAGAGAGGTTGCGTAATTCGGAGAGAACACAGGTTTTGCAGCCCAACATATCTAAATTCTTATTCACGTTCTGCAACATTTGCATAGTATCATCTTGGGGAAAACTAACTCTTAAAAGATTATAATACTTTTCTAACACTTTTACTAAGGTACAATTCAAATATCATACAATTGACTAAAGTATATAATCCAATGATTTTTAGTATAATTACACAACCATTAACACAATCGATTTTATTTTTTACCACAATCAGTTTTAGAATATTTTTATCATCCAAGAAAGACACCCTGCATCCATTAGTAGTTCCTGTCCTCTGTTCCCCGTCCCCTGACCCCAGGCAACCATGAATCTCCCTTCCATCTTCACTTTTGCCTACCCTGGACTCTTTTTCTTCTTTCATCTAACAGTAACTACATACATTTTGAGCAAAATTTTTCCCCACGTGCCCCTCCAAACTACCCAAACCTTTGTTTGATTCTACTCTGTCCTAAGCTTTTTAGAGTCCATATATGACAGTGGAATATTATTCAGGCCCTATAAAAGACAGATCTTGTCATTTGCAACAATATGGGTGAACTTAGAGAACATTATGTTACATGAAATAAGTCAGACACAGAAAGACAAATACTGTACAGTCTCAGTCATATGAGCGAAACAACACTGAACCTCAGATTCCTCATCAGTAAACCGAGGACAATGATACTTTAGAGGCTTTGTTATGTTGAATTTATCTTCATCAGTTCCCACATTGGCAGGATTTTTGCTAGCCCTCAGCAGAACACCATGCCTTAAAAGTTTGTTGTATTACAACAGTATGTAGAAGGTCTTTTCCCTACCTCATTGAAGGCCCAGCCTGTGACCTGATTTAATTATCTTTAAAGATTTCTGTAACAGTGCACCTGGATATGGCTCTGGATTAGTTGAAGCATATTCCCTCAAATTTCTCTAGGTAGGCATGTCAGTTCTTTCCTCCTTCTCTTGACTCTCCTTTACAGTGATTGGTCCAGCCCATGTACTAGACTTCCTAGACTATTTGGTGAAAGTATTCACTGCATTTACCTAACAACTGGGCTTTTGCATCTGGCATAATTCTCTCCACATCTCTGAGATGACGTCAGCAAGTCTGTCATCTTACTTCCTACCCAAAGAGAGTATAACCATTGATTTTGCCACCAACCTATGTAATTCTTTTTCATGTGAAGTTAGTGCCACAGGCTGAACTCTCACTTCAAAGATGACATCAGTGCAAAACTAACAGAGCGTATAATTTAAAAGTGAACTCAGACCCAAAATAAAGCAGAACAAAAAGAGAAATCATTCTGATTAGCACTTTCAGTATGGAATTTCTTCAACACAGATATATGATTGTAAAAGAGAAAACTGATGTCTTATATGGTGTCCATGACAAACATTTCATCTTAATTTTTGTTTCCTCAAAAATAGGTATGCTGTGTCAATGGCTAGAAGAATTGGAGCTAGAGTGTATGCTCTCCCTGAAGACCTTGTGGAAGTAAAACCCAAGATGGTCATGACTGTATTTGCATGTTTGATGGGAAGGGGGATGAAGCGAGTGTAAAATAACCAACCTGAATAAAACCAACCGTGTTCCCAGGTGCATGATTAGCAAGTCAGCTATTTCCAGGTGAAGTCCTCATGGCTTAAGGAATTCTTGATCATTTAAAGGACTGGTTTTGATTAACAAGACTAGCTTATCATGAGAGCCCTCAAGGGAAAGAGTTTTAATGAAAACAGCTTTTCTTTCCCTTAGTCAGAGGTGTATTTGTCAGGCACACCTAAAATGTGCTTGTAGCCAAACTATTTACTCTCTCCTCCTAGAAGGCTGCCCTTGATATTTCTCATTGCTGTGTGTTATTTCTCTCTACATGTCTTTTTCCCTCTAAGAACATCCATCTACTGAGACTTGCTTAGATTATTGGAAATTAATATTATTAGACAGTCATTTTCCTTTCCATCCAGGATGCTAGTTCTTACTCGGGAACTGTGGTCAGAAGGTATTTGGATATGAGTATCCTTTGCTTACTTTGTAGTACTGAAAATTTGCCAAAGTAACTGGCTATGCAGAATGTAAGAGCTTTTCTTATTCTTTTATTCTTAAAATCAGTATCTTTTTACAGTATTCTTTCTACATGATCCTTTTTTGTACATTTAAGAATATTTTGATTACATTCAATAAGACTGCTGATTTTGCTACTTTTTTAAAGGGATCTTTAAGTAAGTCAAAAGCATACATTATAGATAGAAGCACCATGTACCCTAAATTTGCACCTTCCCTCTCACACCCAGGATGTAAACAAATGCATATTTTGTCTTAAGTCACTTGGTTCTATACATGCTTATTTGTTTTACAACCTGCATCATCGAACTCTCTCTTTAAACTTAAAATAATGTTGGACAGGACAATTGGGGAGAGAGTGAAGTCAGAGTGTAGATGGGACACGATAGGCCAAGTATGCTAAGTGTACAATATATTTTTTAATTTTACACCTACAACGAGATGTGGTCACTAAAAAGTAAAAGTCTACGTGTAGGACTTAACATATTCTTGCTTTGTCAAGCTGTTTGCTATAGTTCTCAAGATCATTATGTTATTCTAACTCTGAAAAGTGATGTAATCTGGTAGCAATGTAGTGGTTCAAATAAAGGCATTTACATAATAACTAGTCTCTTCATGATTCTGTCTGTTATTAGTATTCCATTGTTTAGCAGGTTCCTTTTTCTTATTTATTTGATATAGTCTACAAAACAGTGTTATATTTGAGTTTTTGGAGCTGAATTAGAGGTACTGAACTAAGAATAGTATAAATGAGGTAAAAATTTTTTTCAAACTTAACCAAAATTTCCTTGGCTGGGAATGTACCTTAGGGGGAGAGCATATGCCTAGCGTGCTGTAGATGATGCCCTGGGTTAGATCCCCAGAGTATAAAAAACTTTCCTTATCTAATTCATCCTTTCTCTCTTTTCCATCTCCTTTAATCTTTCCTGTATTCTCGGATATGCAGACACTGAACAGGGTAATTGAATAACCAGGGAGAAGAAATGACTGGGGGCAGATTTTCTCAACCTCATCACCACTGACATTTTAGACTGGATAGTTCCGCATGGAAGTGGGAGGAGGGGCTGTCCTGTGCATTGTGGGAGATCAAGTTGTATCGCAGCAGCATATGCCAAGTTGTGCTGACTATAATTATTTCTAGTCATGGTCTGTTGTCCCCTTGTGGCACAAAATCATCCCTAGCTGACAACCAGTTGTTTATGGTACCCTTTTAAATCTTTATGTCAGGAGTAATTTGAAGATCAGGTTACATGTTGACACTATAAAATGTTTTCTATTTTTAATCTGAAATTAGGAAAGACATTTCCAAATGCAGTACAAATTCCATGAAAACTGAGTAAAGGAAATGAATTGCAGGGTTATGCAATTTAAAGCAAGAACCGCTTTAAAAAAAAAAGAAACATACTTTATGTTTTAGAGCAGTTGTAGATTCAGAGCATAACTAAACAGAAGGTGGAGCTCCCCACATAGCCCTGTCCCTATCCCCTCAAGTGCACAGCCTCCACCACTGTCAACATCATGCATCTGAGCAGTATATCTGTTACAGTCAATGAATCTGCACTGACACATCATTTCACTTGAAGTCCATACTTCACATTAGGATTCACTCTGGTTTGGGGACTTTTTTTTGCAGTAATGGTAATTGAACCCAGAGCCTTAAACATGCTACTCAAATCCTCTACTACTGAGCTACATCCCTAGCCCTCACTCTTGATGGTTTATATTCCATGTTGGACAAACGAGTGATGACTTACATTCATCCTTGTGTTAACATGTAGAATAGTTTCGCTGCTGTAAAAATTCTTTGTGTTCTACCCATTCATCCCTTCTTCTCGCCAACCCCTTAGCACTTCATAGTTTTACCTTTTCTAGAATGTAATAGAGTTGGAAACATACACTACGAAATCTTTTCAGATTGGTTTCTTCCACTTGGTAATATGCATTTTGAAGAAACAGAACTACCTTTAAAAAAAAAAATACCTTGTTACGTGCAATGGCACACACCAGGAGTCTCAGCACTTGGGAAGGTAAAATAGGACGATGGGAAGTCCAAACTCAGCCTGGGCAGCTTACCAAAGTCCTGTCTCAAAACACAAAAAGGAGAGGAGGGGACTGCCTGTTTTAAAATCGTAATAATGATAATAAAACTGCATTTCTGGTTTTCTTTTGCTTTGTTTTGTTTTTTGAGACAGTGTCTCACTGTGCATTCCAGGTTTGCTTGAACTCAGGATCATCCTGATTCGGCCTCCCAAGTGTTGAGATCATAAGCCTGTGTCACAACACCCAGAGCATGTATGTTGCGTGTTTTACCTGTCAAGTTGGTAAAACTTAAGTAACTGATACTTATCTAATATTGATAAAGGTATAGGTACATGGGTGTTCCATAACATCACACATGAAAAGTGATTAGTTTACACTTTGTAGAAAGTTGGGCCAGGGATTTAGCTCAGGAGCATAAGTGCCTGACAGGCAAACGCAAGGTCATGAGTTCAATTCCTGGTAACACACACACAAAAAAGCAAACTGAAAATCATTATCAAACAAAAATCAGTTTAACTGTGAACATTACAGCCAGCAAGTATAGCACTGTTCCTTGATACATTTTATATTGTAAGGAAGGATTGGTAAAATGAGTTAGGATCCATTCATATAGCCACTGCTGTGGTACCCTATATAATAACATGGAAAGATATATTAGAAAATGACATTATATATTCATCTTTGTCACTGTGAAAAAATATGTGAGAGGAACAATTTAAGAGAGGAAATATTTATATTGGTTCCCAACTTCAAAGAGTTCAGTCTATGGGTAGGGGATTCCATTGTTTCTGGGCCTGACATGAGGCAGTACAACATGGTGCAAGGGCATGGTGGAGGATAGCTGCTCACCTCAAGGTGGCCTGAAAGCAAGACATAAAAAAGGGCTAGGATCCAAACAAAGCCCCAAAGGATCCACTCCCTCCCGTTAGTTCCGACCTTTTCAGAGCATACAACCTCCTAACCATGAGGCCATGAGTTGGGAGCCACGCCTTCAGCACATGAGCTTTAGGGATATTTAAGATCCAAACCATGATTATAAAAATTACCAAATTAAAAAAATCTTGAGGCTGGGCATGGTGGTGCACTCCTGTAATCCCAGCACTCGGGAGGCTGAGGTAGAAAGATCCTTGCAAGTTCAAGATCAGCCTGGGCGAGAAAGTAAGCCCAAGGCCAGCCTGAACCTGTCTCAAAAAGACCAAAACAACAACAACAACAACAAAAAAAACCTCTTGAGGACAAAAATATATATATGTGGCTAATCCATAGGGTAGAGAAAGTAGGATAAACAACAAAGGTTTATCATTTTTTGTTACATATTTCAGTAATATTAGGAAAGTAAAAAGGGAAATTTAAAATGAAAATATATGATTACTACTAGCCAGTGTGGTGTTACACACTTGTAATCCTGGCAGTTGAGAGGCTAACGCAGGAAGTTTACAAATTTGAGCTCTTCCTGGACAACTTAGCAACCTGTTAAGACCCTGCTTTTTTTTTTTGTTTGTTTGTTTTTTTGTACCAGGGATTGCACTCATGACCTCAGGCTTGCTAGGCAGATGCTTATTTCACTAAGCTAAATCCCTGGCCTAAGAATCTGACTATAAAAAAAAAAAAAAAACAGGGCTAAGGTATAGTCTCAAGGCAAAGGTCCAGAGTTCAATCTCCAATACCAAGAACAAAAACAAACAAACAAAAATTTGTTCCTGCAATCAGGCAAATAATGTACAAAAAATGTTTTAAATGCAAGGAATTAAAAGAATTACACTAATACATTATCTATATCACTAGCATTTACACTTGCACATATTTGCCTTATTTATGTTCTTTCTGAATACTTTGAAAAGAAGTAGCAAGCATCTTGGCATTTCACTCCTACATACTTCGGCATCAAATTAGGCATAGTGGTACATGCCCGTAATCCCAGACTTTGAGAGGCTGAGGCAAGAGAGTCACAAATTTGGGTCCAATCTGGCCTACATAGCAAGATCAAAGCCAGCCTGAACTACAAAGCTACCCACCGTCTCAGTAAACAAAACAAGCACTTTTCAGCATTGATCACCTGAGAAAAAGAATATTCTACATAAGTACAATAAAAGTGTCACATTCCCCAAATTTAATATATACATAACACATAATATACAGTCTAGGTCTCGATTTTTCAAATTGTTCAAAAAATATTCTTAAAATTAATCAGTTTTCATTACAATAACAAAATACTTGAGGCTGGATACTTTATTTTTTTTTAATTTAAGAGGAAAAAGAGAAAAACACAAAACAAAACAAAGCGGTGTAAGGGTACACGTAATACGGAACTACAAAAAAACAAAACAAAACAAAAAAAAAACAACAGTAAGAAATCACCTGTTAGTAGATTACATATTATCATCTTGAAAATAGTTGCTCAAATCACAGTATCAAAGAATACAAGGTGGACATTCAAACAGGGAGACTGCAAACAGCTGTGTTCAATGATCCAAAAACATTGATATAGTCAGCTATTTAACACCCCTAAACACACTTGCTGTTATATCCATTAGAGCTCTTTTTCTTTTTTTTCCCTCTCTTTTTTACAACAAAATTTACACATTTTGGATTTTATTACACCTTAGTGCTTATTACTTTTGGGGGGGGGAGAATTCAGTCAAATATGGCAAAACAAAGCTGTCAGTCAATACCAAGGATAGACATAGCACATGGTGTAGAACAGAGTACAAGTTTATCAACAATGGTTATCAACGTTGTCCCTTGTTTCCTTAAAAAGAATTGTCTATCTCATTAGATATTATAAAGTTGGACAAAACAGTAGAGAACAAGACCAATAAAACTTAGGCATTGTAAACATTACAGGACTTCCAAAGAAGACAATAGTCAAACCAGAATGGGTATCTTAGTGAATCTTATTGTCTTCAAAGTAATTGCCTATGTCTTCAAACTTGATACTATCATATAGAATGGAACAGAGTCTAATCAGTCAAAACAAGATCGTGGGAGTACTACAGGACTTCAAAACAAGTAAATAGGAAATCATAAAGAGTTACTATTTATATATCCTAATTTTTAAAATTTTTTCTTTAATTAAGACAAACATAAGAAATGACTAAATAATTTTTTTTAAACAATAAGGGGGAGATTGAGATAAAACAGGACATAACAATATAACAATAGAGGTCAAAGCATGACTGTTTCAGCAACCTAGTACTTCACCACCATATAACCCGACTTAATAGTAGTTACCACAGTGTCTGTCTTTTTCCTTGAAATATTTGGATAAAACTTCATATACTCTAGCTTCAAATATTTCCATATCAAGAAGCCCAGAATAAAGCCTTTCTAATTAATGAGTGAAAACTTTATAAGGCTTCAAGGCCACATAATGGGGAATCATGATTACCACATATTTTTATATATTTGAATCATTACTTACATTAGGGAAACTATTTGGTATTCACACATGTGAGATTGATTTATTTCACTTATGAGTATGGTCTCAAGCTGCGCCCATTTATTGATAAATATCTCAATGTGATCCTTCTTTATAGCTGAATAATACTCCATTGTATACAAATA